GAACACAGAATGAGTCAGAAATACGAAAGAGACCCTGCAGACAGAAACAATTAAAAGAGCGTGGGAGCTCAAAGGATTCCGGATAAACATTTGATATCCAGGAATTCCCATTATGATATTTTCCACTAGACTGAAAGTGAAAGTTACAGATTTCCCCCGTTACAGAAAGCAAAAAATAAAATTTACTGGCTTTACAGTAAGTGTGTGTGTGTTTCCTGGACTGGAGTCAAAAGTTTGAAGCCGCCCACACACTGACTGAACAGCTTCCTTATCACTTTCTTCCCATTTCATTTTTGGTCCATTAGATGTTGAACATATCAATCATGAACAGATCATGTGGTCAGCTCAAAAAGTGGTTAAAGTTTGAAGACCATATTATGCAGTGTCAATTAGTTTGAATGTGATTACTACTGCTGTATATTTCTTTTAAGGGACTTTAAAACCAAACTACAGTGTCTCTATGGGCTATATGCACGCATAAATTCCGCATTTGACGCAAGGATGCTCGTCAGTTTCCGGCTGGGGAGATTAAAGCGGAGGAAAACCGAGCGAAACGGGATTATGGCAGAGTCTTCAAAATTGACTGTCAAAAATAATCTTTGAAATGAAACTTTCATAAGTTTAGATGTAATTTTATATATAGTTAAGTTTATTTAATATAATTTTTAAAAGAAGCATAAACACAACGAGGGATGTCTGTTTTGTCTGTTTTTGTGACTAACGTTTCTTTAGTAAAACCATGGAGTATAAAATTCAATATAAATTCTCGGTATTGCATTGGACTCTACGATCGGCGGAAGTTATCGAGCATCCTTAATCCTTCACCGGAAATACCGCCGTGCATAGAGCCCATTGACAGTGTGGTCAGGGGCAGATCAAATATAGATCTTATTCAGCTGCAAACTGCAAGAGGTAAACATTGCTTGAGTTTTTAAGAAGCTTATGTCATCAAAGCATGATACAATGGAGTTGAAGATAGGAACAGGATTCCTGGAACAGGAATTTTTTGCTTGGAACAATCTAGGTGATTGCTTGACCAGTTCAGAAATATGTTCCCAGCACCTTAACGCTACACCTGCCAGACCGATGCGGTCACTGGTGTCTACTGCCAAACTAACTTTACCTTCCACCAGGCCGTGGCTGAAGCACTGGCCACACAGGCTCTGACACCTGACATCAGAGAGGCCACCTGCGCAGGCATTTCACTAACAAAGGCCACGCCAATATGAGGTATTAAAAACTTAGTTAATTTGGATAAAGAGATTATTTATACCTGCAAGCTTAGGGGATATTAGCACCTCAGTTGACAAGGACAAAGTCCTGTTGTGGGACAAATGTAAATACATTTCTTACTTTAAAAGAAATGTACAATTTTACATCGCTTAGTGTGTTAATGTACCTCCTGTTTAGGCGCTTTTCCACTGCATAGTACGGTACGGTTCGGCTCAGTACGCTTCGACTCGGCGTGGAACAGTTCGGCTCGCTTTGCGTTTCCACCGCAGTAGTACCCCTTCAAAGTGTGTGGGACTGATCGTTATTTGCGCACGCCTCTACCGCCATGACATCATCTTAAAAGCGCCACATTTTCAAACCCACAACACAGGAACAATGGAGACTATCGAGGGGATGGTGTTCCTGATTCTCGGTATGTGGTTGTTTTTAACTGCTAGACGGAAAAATGTGTTTAAAATGAGGCTGATGGCAGCAAAACAAAAATACTGCTAAAAAAGTGTCTCGTGTCGCAAATCCAATGACGCTGGTAGTGACGATTCTGTCTGACCAATCAATGATCTGCAGTGTTTCACGTCACATTTTAGTACCAGTACGGTACGCTTGGAACCTCAACAGACCAGGTACCATTTAAAGCGACCTGAAGCGAACCGTACTGTACAAGTAAACTTATTCTCCTAACCCAAAGCCTGACACCTAACCATAACTATAATATACTAATACTCTAATGACAGTTAGTTGATATGTAGTTGAAAAGTTACTTATAATTAGTAGACTGCTAAAGTGAAATCGAAATAAAGTGTAACCGAACGTTTTATTCTTGCAGTGCCATTTCTAACATGCTTGGACTCAAATGTCGTTTAACTACTTGAGCAAAAGTTACAGATTTCCCCCAATACAGAAGCCAATAGAACAATCTGTAGGCTTCACAATAAATGTGTGTGTAAGTGTGTTTCCTGGCACAAACAACTTCACATGAAACAATCACCATACTCGGTCCAATGCGTCACAACGCAATGGTGCATCCCCTTACATCATATGTAGACCAGGCCATATAGGGTTCCCTATCGCAGCTTCCCCAAAACACTTTTGAATGTCTATTCAGCAACTGCAAGCCTCGTACATCTTTTTGTTTTGATCATCAATGAATCATTTAATGGTATCTGTAGCTAGTGAAGATGTGTCCATAGCAGGTCCTTAAAGGGTTAGTTCACCCAAAAATGAAAATTCTGCCAGTATTTACTCACCCTCATGTTGTTCCAAGCCTCTATGCGTTTATTTCTTCCGCTGAACACAAAGGAAGATATTTGGAAGAATGTTTTAATCAAACAGATCTCATTCCCCATTGACTACCATAGTAGGAAAAAATACATACTATGGTAGTCAATGGGGATTGAGCCCATATTTTTGGGCGAACGTGAACTGAACGTAGCCTACTGTATTACTGCCTGATGAACGTTACAGTGAACTCGTTCATTCAAGTGTCTGTAAACCGAGGAGCGAGGAGGCGTCGTAAGATCGTAAAAGGGTTTTATGAGGTCGGTGAGGATGGGAAAATCTTCCATGTCTGTGCAAACTTTGCCCGTCGATAAAATGATTGTTATCTGTGGTTGTATATGGGCTGTGGCAATAATAACAGCCTAATAATAAAAAAAAAGAAGCTCGCACCAAAAAAGGGAAAAAAGAACATGAACTAGTTCATTTTAAAATTTGTGAACTGAACTTTGAACTAGTTCATGTAATGAACTTGGTCCAACAGGTTGATAAAGGTTTGCTTTGATGTGTGCAAAGTCAGTAATTTGCCTGAGACACTATACATGTGTAGAAAGAATTATTCGTATTTCAAAAGCAGTAATTGTTATTCTAAGTATAATAAAAGGAAATGTGCCTTTCGGAAAAAAAAAAAAATCCATTCAATATAATAGTGTTGTATAAAGAAAATAAAAAGCAAATATGACTATCATCACAAAGATGTTGTGTATAAGAAAAAGACAAAGAAAGTTTGTAAAATGAATTTCAACTGTCAGAAGGACAGCTCATGAAGAACCAATCATTTACAGAAAGGAACGTTCAAATTCAGAGGAACAGTTCAGAAGAAACGTTAATAATAAAGATTGAGAAGATTGGATCAGTTGTGCTCCATTTTTTGAATACTTAAATACATGTTTTTTTGTTTTTTTTTAATACTTGATGCGCAGACTCTATCTCTAGCAGCCCCCAGTTAATTTGAGTTTGAGACCCCTCTTTTAATACTATTTGTATGCCTTGTGTTTATTTAGGGTATTGAGTTTTAATTGTTTTAATGTTTTCAAATAATAATAATGTTATTGTAATGTTTTCATTTTTATTCTTGCACAATTCTATTTATTGTTTTCTATCTTTGTTTTTAAATTACTTTCTTGTCTGAGCTGTTTTAATTTTGCTCATGCTGAGCTGAAGAAAGAAAACAGCTCTCCATGTAACTGTGTATAAAGTCTATGAGAGTGCAGTGAACTCTGACAAAACATACAACACAGAATTAGTCAGAAAAATGAGAATTATCCCACCGCAAATGACAGAATTAAATAGTCATAATTAGAATCAGTTCTTTTTCAAACATCTTAAGATATGAGTGGAAAGTTTTGTTCTTGCATTTGCATTTCTAACATGCTTGGACTCAAATGTAGTTTAATTGCGTATGTCATTTGATGTGCTACTTTAGTACAATTTAAGAACCTCAAGATTGCAGATGACCATTTAATATGCAGCAATTCTTATTATGAAGTTATTTTCCACTGGGCCAAAAGTTAGAGATTCCCCGCTACAGAAAGCAGAAGTAAGATCAGGGGAAGCCTTTACAATGAAGATGTGAGAGTGTGTGTTTGTGTGTTTCCTGGCATTGGAGTATGTGCTTGGCACTGTCAAACATATGAAGCCGCCCACACTGAGCGTTTCCTTCACATTTCTTTTTGGTCCAAAGACACTTAATTACAAAAGAAGCTAAAAAGAAGTTAGATTTATACTGTACTTTAAAATAAATAGTTTCATAGTGGGATATATTTCAGTTTTGTGTGCAAGGAATTTAAGGCCTGTCCCATATATAGGCCGGTTCAATTCACCGAGTTTAGTAAACAAAAGCCCGGGCTTTAAAGTTAAGGTAGTTACATTTTTCTAAAATCATAAGAAATATTATAAATAGCGGTACCGCCAGAACACGTGTGTTCTGATATAACATTGCTGTAACATTCATTTTTTGGGTGTTTGGTTTGTACACCTTAACTTTTAAACAAGCTACTCACATTTGTTTACAGACACAAAAAAAGTTATTTAAACATCTACTAAGTAAAAATGTAATTAATGTTTCTGCATATTTCTATTTTGGGACTCTTGCCCCCCAGTAACAAACTACAGTATCTCTATGAGTCAATGCACCCAGGGGCACATCGTCTACAGATCTTATTTGGGTACCGCAAACAGCAATTTTCTGAGCTGAAACGAGCAGACAGACCTATAGAAAAGTGTGGATTTGTGACTCGAGTTGTTAAATGTTTTTCTGTTGCTGTCACTGAGCTTTGATATTAACTTGATTTAATCCAAAGACAATAGGACAAAAATGATATTAAAAGAATTTAAATATAAAATTTTTGTTTTATGACAAAATACCTGCAAAAATAATTACATTAAACCAGCTAAAGGTCAGCATCTTAACATTGTCACTGTTGCTTTCTGTTCCTCCTTTTTTGAGCTCTTGTTAAATCTAGTTTTGCAATTTCAGTTTCAGTTTTGTTTGCAGGATTGTATTTAAGCCTCAGTGGAAGTTGTCTTGCAGTTCAACTGAGAGCACGAACCAGCATCTCCTATAAACCAAGACACCTCATCAGGTGAGTTTACAATAAATACTAAATGGTAAAGTATATATCAGTAATTTAGATTTTTTATTGACTGATTTTATTCATTACAGAAATTGATTTTTTATCTTTTTTTTTGTCTTAACTTTTTTGTTTTGATGACTCACGTCATCAACACAATTCTGCTAGTTTATTATTGATGAGCAAATACTTTTTGAGCTAAATGTAATGTATTATAAAACATAATTGGCTGTAAATATTTTATTCCACAGGCGGTTCCCACAGAGAAAGGTTTTAATAATCTGCTGACATTTCTACATTTTCTTTTGGAGTAAACCCCTGTTCTGAAGATGTCAGGTAGGCAAACACCATTCAGAAGAATAAGTGCATAATTTGCTCTAAGAAATATAGAATATTGTGGACTGATTTTACCTTTTAGTAAATATTTAGTTCATTTCTAACTTCAGTGACTTCAGTGAGCTGCCAGATTTAACTGGATGAAAGAAATGACAATACAATGTTTTTTGTTATACACAGTAATCCATTAAATGTCAAACTTCTAATGATTATTAACTAGCCTAAATAGGAGAAAAAGAAATATATTTTTTGAGAAGAAACAGGTGAAATGGATCTCCAATCTTAAATGTTATTAAACTGTAAGTTTCAACATATTGAACTGAAACAACCAGACTTGGTAAATTGTCACCTCAACCCAACAGCTTTGTATGAAATACAGAACATCAGATGGTCTTAGTTGGACTTCTGTTTGGAACTGGGATGAGACTGACAAACAGTGACAAAACTGGCAACACGGCCTCATACCTAAATGTCAATGTAGATCTAGTGTCCAAAGTCCCAAAACAACATATACGACCATTTTCCCAAAATGATATGAAGATTTGTCTTTATGGTTATATATTTTCTGTCTTTAGATGTCATTTATTTACTCTCCTTAAGGGTATATATTTTTACTTTGAAGTTGTATCCTGTTACTGTAATATACCGTTAAGTTCGGAGATTGACTTATCGAGACTATTTTAGATGGCTCCTGTCTATACGCGAAGTGAACTGTCTTCATAAAGTATCTTCTTATTAAACGGTCTGTACACTTACAAAGTTCTCAATGCTTCGTTTCGCATGTATGGACCCTCATTATGTTACTGCGTTAGTGTGGGGCTATTTTGAGCCTTGTTAGTGGTATAAACTAGCGATTTCTTTGTACTTAGTCAATGCCCCCATTGCTAGCATTATACGCTAAACAGTTTTTAGAGATAAAACTCTTTACATTCGATTATCATGAAAACAAATCTCAGAGAACGATTGACTAGGTACCGATGTTTTATTAGACCAAAGGTTCATTGTTCACCGGACGCAGCGCCACATGAAGTCAAACGCACCTATTAGCAGCAGACCCAGCAGTGAAGAAGTGAGCCAGACAGCTAAGCAGCAACATGACAGCAGTGATTTAGAGGGACAGAAAAGGGATGATGTGAGGAAGTGATATTCAGCTTGTTACATTTTTAATGATTACAGCAGTTAAAACAGCTAAACTTCAACATTTTAGCTGTAAAATTAAAGTCTTTTGACACTCATGCCAGGCGGCAGGCGTTACTGTTGTTGTCGAGTTTCCATGCGCCGATTGCTTTGGGCCTGGCCTAGTCAAAGTCCAGGGCCGTTTTTTAGTCCCAGTCGGTCCCTGCGCCCCTGTGAAGGTTAGGGTTGGGGTTAGGGGCTATAGGGGATGTCGATGCCTTTAACACTAACATTGTGAGGGCGAGCAGAAAACTGGGCTTTTAAGTCACAGCTAGAGTGCAACATGAAAAGCTGATTTGAAAGCCTGATTTTTTATGACTCTGACTTTTGCAATAAAATGGTATTTTTGTAACAAAATACTTTTACTTTTGAAATATAATTTACTGTCATTTTCTTGCAGCGAGCTTTGCGATCGAAGGGCCAAACGTCTCCACAAATGTCGAAGCCTCTTTATCGTCTCTCAGTGTCACAGCCTTTGTGAATGCACAAGTCGCCAGTACTTTCCTCGCCATTGGTCCTGTGAAAACTACAGTGGGCATTGCAGCAGATACTGGTGCCAAGATCGGTGTGACAGGTGTAGAGGCAAAGGTGCTGGGAACAGGCTTCTCCATCGGTCGTAAAATGGGCATTTCTCTGTTTGGCACTGGAATTGAAATTAATTTGTGGTAAACTGTGGCTTTGTGCCAAACACTACTGCCGTGTCTTCTTTTCAAACCAAACAAATAATGTAACCATGTAAAATTTGCAATATGTATAAATGAAAATTGTTCTTGTGTAATAAACAACAGGAATGATGTTTATCTTTTAATGCAGTTACAGGCATTAGTCTCAATCTTAATAAAGAACTATAAAACACACAAACTATGGTAATGTATAGAGACTGTTACTGTGGCTGAACACTGAATTTCATGATACAGGAATTTGTCTATGGAAGCCCCGAGAGGCAAATGAGAAAACAAGTTTGATCTAAATTGCTTTCGCTCCTGTGTTAATAACTTAGGAATGTCACGGTACAAACAGGAAGGGAGAACTCAAATGCAAAATCAAGGAGGATTTATTAACAAAAAGAAAACCAAAACACAAAGCAAAAATCCACGAGGGGGAAAACACAATAAATGAACATGAAACAAACACTGACTCTGAAAATGAAGATATCCACAAAGAACTGGGAAGACATATGACAACGAACCGACAAAGACAGCAAACGAGAGGAGACTTAAATAGGGAACAAATCAAGAGGGAACAGGTGGGAGAACTCAAACACTAATCAGGTAACGAGGGGGAGGATCAAACAATGACAGGAGCACATGGCTCAACATAAAACCACCCATGTGCTAACACGATAGGACAGACACGTGACAAGGAATGGGTGGGGAAGAAAGTATTCATGAGTTTTAATTTCTCCATGAACTCTAAACACAATGTACATAAGACGTTTTAAGATGTTTCATAGAGGAGATACGTCACTCAATCACATCCTCAACACAACTCTATGGGGAAAGCCTATAATGGCAAAGATGGTGGTTTTTCCGCCCCTCCCATTAGAAAGCCAATCGTCTGCTTTTAAGAGCCAAAGCGGGAAACATTTCAGCCAATCATGTAGTTTCACTGACGTAAGGGTGTGCTGACCTTTTACTGCACATGTGTGGAAGTGGTGACGCATGTGTAAGTAGAAACATCACTGGTTGGGAAAAACGCTTTTTAAACTTTATTTTGGGACAAAGTCAACAAACCTTTTCAGTGAGTTTTATTAGATTTTGCTGCTGATTCTACTTACATTCAGGTACTGGTCAAATAATTAGAAATTGGTAACACTTTAAAATAATGGTCCGTAGTTAACAAGTAGCTATGCAGGAAGTAATAGGTAGTACTGCATTAACACCGAACTTAATACTATTAACTAATATGGAAGCAATATTAACTAAGCAGTAAGTAATAGGTCATTTAGTACAAAGGTAGTTCCTTGGTAGGTATTTGATTGTTACTAAAGAAATATATCCTCATTGAGAACTACTTGTGAACTAAGAATTAATAACCAATGAATTACAAATCACAAAAGTAACATGTCTAAAAAGTGAACAATTGTGGGGGTTTTACTCTTAACATGGTCATAACATTTCAGAAGCATGTGCCTCAATTGGGTTCTTTGTGGAAACAAGTTTATGAATATTACATCCCCCCAAATACATTAGCTAGGTTGAGATTGTGACCACTACTCTTGCCAGGATGGACTCATGTTCTCTGTTTATTTAAAAATTAAACATAAAATAAACGCAAAACCACATCTTCCAGATTACAGTGTTTGTTAGAATATTAGTGCCTCACAGAACCTGTACAGTATGTGTCAAATATAAAATTAAATAACTTGTATCATTTGTGAAAAACATGTTAACTCCTCAATAACTACTTAAGCGTAACCTTGTCATCCCGCAGGAACTACTAGTGATGAACTACTAGAAACGACGAATCTTCCTGTGTACATTTGTTTAAATTCTTAATATTCTCTAAACTCTATCAGCATGTGATTGGCTGTTCGTTACTGATGTTACAGCTAAACTCAGGATCAAAGCCCGAGTTGACAGAATACCAAATGCGCCAGTTAATGTATTCAAGTAGCACATTCATTTATAATTTTGAATAAACTCCAAAGCTCAATGACTAAGTGTGTATTTTTTGTTTTAATTGTTTGTCAGCTCGCACAACTGTCTGTCACCATGCCTTGATGAGTATTGATTATTAATAATGTTATTATAATACTCCCAACCAATTACTGCGGAGGGTAAAGGTACTGTTATTTCACCCTTTTGAATTTCGTTGAGGTTGTGTTCCCACATCGTTAGCTAGTTTGGATCGCTATAACTTGAATGACTGTCAACTGTTGAATGAACGAGTGTCAAGCATGTCAAGTCGTGCTTTGTTTACTTCGAACCGGAAGACGCGCCTCTTGCACTTTTGACGCAAGGCCTCATGGGGCGTAGGAAACTTGTGGATAGAGAAGGACTTATCACGCAGGAGAAAGCGCAATAAAGTTAATATGTGGTAAAGGGCCGAACGAGCTAGCTTCTCTAGCCCGTACTGCAATTCTTCCTTCTATTTCTTATTCCGACATAGACTACGTTTAGATTGTCAGTCCAAAAAGCACATGAAATCCAAATGCAAACCCCTCCATCACTGTCAATGTCAGTGCCGTATATTGCCCGAGAGCTGCATGGACTCACAAATCGGATCTGAACAGTTGCGATAAACAGTGTGGACATTAGACATGTGCCGTTATTCGGTAATGCAATAAATCGCGGTAATGAATATGCACGATATAGACCCCTTTTGCAAAACAAAGTGAAAACTGGAGGCGGCCAATGCAAACCAGCACAGATTCGGCTACATAATAAGGAGCTTAAATAATTGTTACTATTATTAAATGTCATCTTGTTGTGTTGTTTGGTGCAAGAATTGATGAAAAATGAATATGCTGTATCTGGAACTTTTATTTCTAGAAAATATTCACATCATTAAAATCGCACTGTAATGTCACACTTTACATTGTCGTGGTCTCGGCGCTGGCTCGGCAGAACTGCGGATCGTACACACAAGTCTTGTACATATAGGCATCTAAAGATTTATATGCCCTCAGTTTCTATTTACGATCGTTTCTCTATAAGGTAGGTGTAGAAGTCAGACCACTCAACCGAGGTAACATACGTTAATCCTGTCAGATCGTCCATGCATTGAGTGAGCGTGTTGGCGGCTACTGGTCGGCCAATCTGGTTCTGTCCGTTAAAATTACTTTTGGAAATAACAATCGCGGTCCTGGACACTGAGTGACCTTACACATTAAGATAATATCTGATTTTCTCCAGTCATTGTTCAAAAACAAGCTAACAATCCTTGCTAACTAGCGTTAGTGAAGCGGCCAGAGGGATCTTTCTGCCTCCATCTAAGCTCCGCCCAAAAAAAAAAACGTCACCATGTTTACCAACTGTAAAAGGGTCTGTTGTTATCGCGGGCTCTTCAAAATACCGTGAAAAATAATAGATTCGAATTTGGACTTTTAGAGCGCGTATTAGCTTATTTTCCATCAACCGCTCAAACACTGCGTATATACTGCGCAAAACACGCGCGCACTCTGATGTAAACAATCCCCACATGTATAAGCACTGTGTGCATGCGGCAGTGCGCACTAGTCTAATGTAAACAATCCTCACATGCAGTAGAAGCACGGAGGAAAGCTCCCGACGATTTATCCCCAGGGCTGCCAACTCTCACACATTCAGCTTGAGACTCAAGCTTGAGACTTTCAGACAGGACGCGGAATATGCGCGCGATGCGCAGGGATGTTTTATTGCTGCGTCGACCTGCATCGATCAACACACGCCGGGGTTAAAGTTCAAAATAGTTCAAATTTTTATTTGTAAAATGGCAAATCGCGTTGTATCTGAATGACAACGTTGAACCAATCGGCCAGCGTCGCGCATTCCGCGTCCTGTCTGAAAGGCGCTTAACGTATTTGACACTTTTCACACGCTCTCACACAGAGAAAAATAACAGAGCAAAGAGGACACTGACACCGACAGACTTGACAGAGCAGGTTACTTTTGATATGAAAGTTGTTATTGATAAATAAGCTCTTAGGTTCTGATCACAGATCGTTGCTCCTCAGTTAAAGTAAATCGATCATGTTACTAGTTTTTATTTAAAGATACAGTACAACTTACCGAAAGGTATATTTACTTGTAGATAATAGTGTTAATTTCGTTAACGAAAACTAAACGAAAATATTTTCGTCAACGCACATTTTTCACCGAACGAAAACTAGACGAGACGAGACTAAAATCCCCACTAATAAACAATAACTGGGGGTAAATCAGAAATAATTTTCGTAGACTAATAAAGACGAGACGAAAATGCAGTTCGGTAAATAAAGACTGGGCTAAAATCTATGGACATTTTAGTTCACGAACAAAGACGAGACGAAAATTACATATTATTATATGATATGGTTTTGTTTAGTCAAATCCTGTCTCCTCCTCCGCCGCCTCCTCCTCGTCAGCTCTTCCGCCACACACCCACTTTCAAACATGGAGCGGGCGGGCACAGTCAGAGTAGCCTACACAACACATGGAGCAGACAGGAGCTGAATTCACGGTGAGGCGGCGGCGACAGGTTAAAAGTAAAACATGCTTTGCACGGGGCTCGGGAGAAAGAAGAGACGTGATATATCGACACATTTTGACAATGATAAACTAACTAATGATGGCTAACTTAGCATTTAGTATCCAGGCTGGCTATGTTACGTTAGCTTCTTAGCACGTAGCGACCGTAGCCACTTGTTGATAGAATTGTATGTGAAGTTAAATTTATGCTAACTTAGATATGTTATACTGGCCGGGCAACTATAGTTTCAGTTAAATTTGATTAAAGCAGACAGACGCTTTAAAAAGATTAGTTAAAAAGATTTCGAACGTTCAAGCAAGCTATGCCTTGTTTCACCTTAAATACTGTACCTTTATATACCATGTGAACTAGCTGGCAGGAAAGCACTTTTGTTGTTTTAGTTGGAGTTTTTTTTTTTTCTTCACAACATTGACCTCAAATCTATTTATTTTATTATTCTATGTGAACTAGCTTTAAACAGCCAGCACTTGTGTTAAGTTCATAAAACACTTTTATTTTATTTATTTGTTTCCTTTGTCAGGTGTATTTTATTTGT